ATTTATAGACACTTGGCAAATAATTCCATCACCTACATTTACTTCTTACNCGCGAGGGGGCTCTCGTCACCCCTTTGATCCGGACACAAGAATACGACGGAGTTATCTAACATAAAATCCCGACGCGACAATTAGGAATCGCTGCAATCACACATAAATTGCCCGACGCGACAATTAGGCTTAGTTCTTTATAACTTGATAATTGGACTGTTCTTGCATGGCAGATGATCTTGATACATGCTGAAAGTCTCTCCTTTAGTACACGATTGTCCTCCTTCCACATGGTCCTTTCTTCTTTGTTCTTCACCTTCCTTCCTCTGCCAACGACCCGACACAAACCCAGGTGAAACGAAGAAAAAAGTCCTCTAAGCACGTGGTCTTTCCTTTTTATAACCCACGCCATGTCCTGACGAGGGAACATACGTCATGGCAGGGGAGCCAATCACAGGCTCACACTACTACACCTCAAGAAGTGGTACGAACTTTACGGAAACAGTCTACAATTACCAATGCGCGACAAAATACAGTATATAGATACATATATATTTAATGATAACATACAAACATTTAGTGGAAAACACTACAGTTTATATATTCTAGATATTTGGATGTAAAATGTGATAACATCTCAACTACCTATCATTTTATTCTATTAGTTTCATCTTGTCCAGTTTATAATATGAATTTTGGCCTGAAAGGTTTTACATAATTCTCACTACAGCAAACATGATAATCATGCATTAAAATATTATGCCCTGACAACCCTCAAAGTCATTTGGTTAGTCAATCACTTGTTTGAACACACAATCAACACATACTTTCAATAATGAAAAGCAGACTTAACATATTTTTAAAGTTTGAGCCAGTATTTTACTACATCAAAAGATTGGATTTGATTATAAACAACAATAGATTTAACTCTAACACTGGTTAGCAATCTTCAAACACCATGCCATAGATGGACTACAAACTAGCCTTAAAGAATATAGAAAATTGAAAAATTAAACTTTAGCTTAGAGTATTTTCTTGTGTTATATTTTCATCAATGTATTGAAACATGTTAATTTTTTTTTACTTGTAATTTAGTTAGAAGAACAAAAGTTGCAAAAGTTACAAGTAGAGAGAGAACAACAATCTTTAAATGAAACAAACTGTGAATTGGAACAAAATCTACAGAAAATGCATCAAGAACTTAATGCTAAAGATTCAAAAATAAAATGTCTTGAAAATCATTTAGCACAATCAAAATTACAAAAAGAAAACATGAAGGTAAGTAAATTTATAAAACTAAAATTATTCTAAGATGATATTTGTATTATTTGTTGCATGAGAAAAAGTTATTTTCATAAAAACAATATACAGTAGAGCGTCGTTTATCTGAATCAATTGGGGACTGAGGTTGTTCGGATAACATATTTTTCTGATAACCAATTATGTACGAAAAAATATATTAATTTATCCCATGTTGAAATTTTTCTTCATTGTGTGTCGCTTCGCGTTGAATTTTCGTTGATGTTAAGCCTAACGAAGACTATTGTATCGTTAAAAATTATTTTTTTATTTTGTACAAACAAAATAAATATATTGAAAAATATAAAAACAATAAAAAATTATACTTCAGAAGTTAATTTAGTATCAAAAACGTAAAATATTTGAGTAGCCGAAGACATAGCCAAAGATTACAGCGCCATAGCACTGGCGAAAATTTAAATTTGTCGACTGGAATTCCTTCGGATAACCGACCTTCGGATAAACGACGCTCTACTGTAGTTAACATTATAAATATTCTCATCTCATTCTGCCATATCAGGATTTTCCCGACCTCGGCCACACCCGGCACAGATTAGTAAGCAGTTAGTAAATACGCCAAGGCGTTACTAGGGAAAGTTAGTACCCAGAGTGGTTTCCCGTTGCCTTCTCTGGGGCGCGATGTTACGCGAGGGGAACTAATGCCTTCCGGGAGGACTTTTATGGGGAACTGGCCTCCTATTTAGTCATTATTGGCAAGGAGAAAACCCGGAAAACTCCAAGCAGCCAGCCTGTCCGATCGCAGTGCGAACCCAAGACCGAACTCCCAGTGTTTAGTGTACGAAGACCACTCGGCCACTGGTGGTCTTATAAATATTACACATCGCAATTCAGTTTGACTTTTGCTTTCTTGAATTAGCAGTCAGTTTTGTAAACTATTTTTATAATTTTGTGTTAACATATAGCATATTTGAACTTATTTGCATATAATAATAGTTATTTATTAATTATTACTGGCATTATATTGATATATTATTTCAAATATGATACTACAATTTAAAGTAATTTATTTAGCACATTAAGTGCCACAATAGTGGAGCATAAAATATCACACTGAGTCATGGTCCTTTTTCTGAACAAAATAGCACAAATATGATGGTTATTTATTTAATACAATTTTTAGGCATATTGCAAAATTGCAACATGTTGCTTGAATGATTTTTTTTTCCTGATCATGTTACGTCATCTTATATGCTCATTAGCTTTCAAACTCAACAAAACTTAAACCACATTCAAGGTTGCATAAATGGCATGATACAAATCCAAGAAAAATATTGATAGAATAAACACTGAAATAATATATGTAATATTTTTTTTTTTACTGTTTATATTCACTGAGAGAAAATGAAAATTGTTTCCTGAATAATTTTGTTGTATGTTTCAAAACTGTTTCTTCTTTTTCTTGTTTGGTTCAATGTCATGACTGGGTGAATTCATAGACACTTGGCAATTTTTATCATAAACTTTTTATTTCAAAATTTTATTCGTTGAGACGCGTTTTGTGTCTTAGCCCCTCTTCGGTCAGCATTATGTGAGGGACGAACAGACCCACAATAAAGTGTTATTTTACATTTTAATTATTGGAAAATTTAATCGGTTAAATTCGAACGTTTTATCAGGTTAGGCTAAAAGCCATAAAAATTATTTCCCACGGAGTTTGTTCCTTGTTGAGTCGGATCAAGTTAGTCAGGGATGTGTCACCAGGAACTTTTGATGGAGAAGACATACTGGACAGGCGACCGTTAAAGGCCATCACCTGACCTCATGGAAAAAACCCAAGAGGAATGAAGAAGAGAAAAGGAAAAAAGACCCCAAAGTCAGTCGTCATCCAAAGTCCGCCCAACAAAGTCGTCCTCCAGGATTAAAATCGTGACCCCGGATTAAAACCGTAACCCAGGATAAAACCCGTGCACCAAAATCCCGAAGTAACACTGTGACAGAAGTAACACCGTGTCTCTTTAAGAATCTCCATCCCACTTCCGTGCTTCCACGCCTCTGAGTGCCAGTTAACGGACAAGAACTAGTGGAAAGACCATTTCAGAGGAGTCAATAGTGTCATCATACAACAGATCTGCGACCTAGGAAAAAGAAAGGTATTTATCAACCCGCGACTCGGTTGTAAACTCTCTCTCTCGAACGGAATAGTATAATTAAGTCCGATAATATGCCCGATATCTCTGTATTTTCTTTGTTTATTATTAAAATTGTTATTTGTTAGAAAATATGGAGTCCGAGTAAGTCACTTCCTCGTCTCTCTCCTCACCTCTACTCCGAATCCAATCGCTCACCCGCTACCGCTCGCAAATCTTTAGACTTAACGTCGCGATTTCCGAGTCCCCTAGAGACTCGGTGGTGTCATCCTGACAGGGCGCCAAAGAGGTGCCGACCCTATGGTCACAATATGGTCAAAATTTTATTCGTTGAGACGCGTTTTGTGTCTTAGCCCCTCTTCGGTCAGCATTATATCTTGGAATAACATAGATGTATTTTCAGTTGTCATATATGTTTTTCCAAGACTGAGGAGGGCTAATGCACAAAACACGTCTTGACAAATAAAGTTCTGAAATAAAAAGTTGATGATGAAAATTGCCAAGTATCTATGAATTCACCCAGTCGTGACATTGAACCAAATCTTGAATAATTGTTTTTATGTTTTACATTTTTATGATATTGTACTTATTTGTGTTTATTCTGCAAAAAAAAAAAAAAAAAAAAACAGAAAAGGCAAATTTTGCCCATTTTTCTTATTTTAACAGTATAGGGGAAAAATTAAATTCCTATTAGTATTCTATCATAAAATTTTGCCAAGTGCAATTTTCATTCTCACAGGCAATGAATATTTAAGAATATCTTTACTTATTCTTTTAAAAAATGAAGATTTAAGATTTACATATATTTGAACACATGCAATGTTTCATTTTATATTCTATGAGGGAAAGTCAGTAATTATGTTACAAATAAACACCCAAAAAAATAAGCAATAAAGTGTCTAATATAGAACATCAATTTTTGAACAAAACTTCTAAGAACATTCAAGCACTTGTTTCAGCATTCTACCAGCTTCTGAAAACATGTACAAAAGCTTGTTGATTGCTGTTATAATCACCACTACATATTTCTGAATATAATTATTGGTTGTAAGATGTTCTCCGTTTAAGTGTTTTGTAAAGGTCCAACTAAGAGATTATATAGCTCAGATCTAGCATCAAGTGATTTCCATCTTTTTTGACTTTTAAAAGAACATTGAATTGGTGAATATGTTTTAAGCAATGAATCTTCATTGCTCAAAAAACTTAAACAGCTATTAACAAATTTTTATGCAGCATGTTTTCAGAAACTGGTAGAACATTGGGTCAAGTATTTAAATGTTCTATGAACATTTATTTTTCAACAAAATTTTGTTAGAAATTTTTGGTGCATGTTCATAATCAGTTAACTCATATTTGAAGAACAAGTAAAAACACTTTTATTGTAATGATTACGTGCTATGTACAACGTTCCCTCTAAATTTTTTTTGTAGATGAGCGGAACATATACTTCTCTGAGCAAAAAAAAAAATTTTCTGAGCATATATATATATATAAAATCTTATTTTTTCCTATAAAAATTAAAATAATTAATTATAAAGTAGAGATTAAAATTAATTTTAAAACATTCTTTTATACAAAATATTATTTCTTGTCAATGATTTAATGTATTTAATTGAAATATACGTAGCAATAATCATGTTGCAGACAGAGTGAGGAATAAGTAAACAACAATTCAAATCAGTGTGCATGATCGCCTGGCGGCACATAAATTCTCATGCTCGGCAACAATTTGAGCAGTGCGCGGCCGCACAGCTTAGAGGGAACATTGGCTATGTAATTGAAGGCTTTGTAATATATCAAAACTTTTTTATTGGAAGAGATATGTGAGATCTGAATAGGCCCTGGGTCTAAGTTAATAATTTCAAAATAATATTAAATTTTTGTTATAAAATATTCTTTCGTTTGGGTGAGAAAAATAATGTTTTAGCGTGGGAAAAGATAGATAACAGATGCTACTTCCTTCCACGAAAGTTAGAACATCCTTTGTTTTCCATTATCAGCTAAAAATCTCGCTTCAGTGGGACTGTTTACCCCTCATTTCATCCCCTTCCCATCCATCCACGTGAATAAAGCCTCGACTGATAATTGGTCGTAGGTGAGAAGATATAGGGGATGTTCAACTGAATTCGGGAGTTCATCGACAGACCTGGAAGAGTCAGGACTCCATACATAATTCTCCTGATGGCCAACGCCCTTAGTCAAGTCACATAGAATAAAGCTAGAGAGTTAGCGCTTAGAAGAAATACTTTAATTTTGTGCACATTTCGACCTCCAATGGAATGAAGTTTGAGAACTTTATAAACGAAGTGCCTTTGCCAACCGATGAAGAAGACGAACGACAACTAAACCAGGTTGTATGTTTAATAACGATTTTGTAAGCTCTCTCTCTCGATCGTGTATCGGTTAAGTATAAGTCCATATCTCTCTTGACATATAGGTTGTAATGTGTATTCATTGTCTCTTACTACCATATATTTATACTATTTTTATTGGTTTATGTTTAATTAAATTTATTCTTGTTTATTTGTTAAAGAATGTCTCTTTTAGAGTCTCTGAATCAGATCTATAAAATAATCACACGCGTGTTTGTCCGCGGATCGATAAATTGACAACTGGTGTCGGGAACCTGACAATTTGGATAGAGACTGTGGCGACAGCTTTGGCGATAAATTCCAAAGCCGCCACAAGGGGGAACCCCTGACCTGACCTATGACATCATACACATTCTAGTTGGATTTTGGACCTTGCAGACGTGTGTAGTAACACCTCGTGTTTTAACTTGTACAGTCGCGCCATAATTCATATAGAGAATAAACGATAATCTTTTATTGTATGTGGCCCTGTTTGTAATGAGTAATTTCACACGAACTGGTGACCACAGAGACTTCATAGTCTTTAATCCTACTGCCTTCCTATGTAAGTTTTAAGATCAGATCTAGTGATCTGAAACTGCAGAGAACAGATTTCGGATAATCTGTGCCGAATAAGTGGTACGAACAATCCTAAACGGAGGTTGTACCCCCGGCTACTCTCACAGATATTAAGCTACCCTATTTTTTAAAGATATGAAATATTTATTAAATTTATATGCACACACACACACACACAGATTTTAGTTGACAGATACTGAATTTTTAAAAAATTTTGAACAATATTATAACAGTTTATTAATACAATGTCTTTTTTAAAAAAATATACAAATTTTAATTTAACATATTTTTAATAGTCGAAAGAGAAAGAATCAACAAATATGGTTGATAAATTCACAATGAGTGATGATTTGATGGAAATTGATTCTAAAAAAGAAGAAAAATTAGGTAAGTTTTTTTTTATTTTTTTAAAATTGTAATTTATTTATTTTATTTAATTTTTTAATATCAGATAAGGAATTAAGTCAATACCAGAAATGTGAAACTCCCCAAAGTGGTAGTAAATATGGTTTTAAACATTCTGATCAATTAGAAAAATCAAGAATTGATATTGAATTGGCCAATGAAAAAGTAAATATTAAAATATTTTATTTATATAATTTTTAATAAATTCAATTTTTTAAAATAAGAGATTATATTAATGATTTAAAAATTACGTAGATTTTTTTAAATTGAAATTAATGATGATATTTTAAAACAGTTAAGATAAACTTATCATCTTTTTCATTTTTCAGATAATGTGCTTAGAACAAAAGATTATTCAATTAACCAAAGAATTAGAATGCCAAAGGCATAATTCAGAAGCAGTAAAATTAACAATTGAACAAAAATTTAAAGAAAAGGAGAACAACTTTAAAGATGAAATAAAAAATCAGACGCAAGGTAGTAATTTTAGAAACTTTGAACATTGATCAAGTTGTAACTTATTGTCTACTGTGCAAATTTATCCATATTTAGATTAGTCTTGTGAATTATTACCTATTTTGGTTTAATTTAAATTAAATCAGATAATATCTAACATAGCAATACATATTTATTATTTATGAGTATTCTGACCTAGTTTTGTATATAATAATTTTAACTTTTCTATTTTTTAGCTTTTTATGATTTAGAAAAACAATTCACAGAGACGAAATCGAAGTTACAGCAAGAACTGACTTGTGCTCAAAAAAATGTAGATGCATCTAACTTTCAACTGGAAAAATTGGAAAAACAAAAAAAGTAACATTTTCCTATAAATATAGTACAGTAGAGCAGTGGTTCTCAACTGGGGGTACATGTACCCCTAGGGGTACGAGCATAAATTGAAGGGGTACATCTAACTTTCATTATAAAATGGTGTATGTTAATCAATTTGCTGTAAATTATTAACACAAGAAACAACAAAAACTTGCTTTAAAATATCCCAGTGTGAACAGTGATTTCCCTTTTAACAGTCTAAACAACTTGTTTATCCACTTGATTTGCCTGTCTATTTGTGCCGTTAGTGCCGAGTGAACCTGTAGTCTAGTAAAATTACGATTTAACCAATTATTAATTTTAGAATAGAAAAAAAAATTTTTTTCTATTCTATAATTATTGCTTGATAAGATTGGGCTTTTCGTGTTTTTACTAGACTACTGGTATTAGGAATAACGAGGCCTGGATCATACCCTCACCATGCAATGCGTGTCACTGCACGTGCGCATTACTTGATATTTAGCAAATTTAGACATTACATTTGTTACAAAAATTGAAAGATTCTATTATTGTTATGCACGTTATAAATTCGTAGCTATTACTTTCAAGGTCAGTACACAATTATAATCTCTATTTAACAACGTGGGAACCAAATTTTGAAAAAATTGCTGAAGATTTATCGCAACAAATATCCCATTAAATTTTGTTAGAAATTATTAAAGAATAATTTAAATTTTCTTTATTGTTAATTATAATTATTTATTTTTAGGAAATGTAATTTATGCATGTATTGAAATGACTTCT